TAACGGTTGTTAAACCGTCAGGCGTAAAGGTTGTTAAACCGTCAGGCGTAAAGGTTGTTAAACCGTCAGGCGTAAAGGTTGTTAAACCGTCAGGCGTAAAGGTTGTTAAACCGTCAGGCGTAAACACGAGTTTATAATCCCGTGAGGAAAGACAAAATGAATCAACAGAAAGTTCGATCCATCGACGCCCACCTCCGAGCAGAACTTTCAGCTGCCGGTCGTAGAACTCCACCTCTTTCTGGGACACCAGGCTGCACTCGGCGCACTGCCGGACCGGGTCCACRAAGCACATGCGGGGCAGCGCCACCTTCTTACTGCAGCATTTATCACAGAAACAGCGGCCGCAGCGCCTGCAGTGGTGCTGCAGGAGGAAWCAGAGCGTCGGGTCGGTTATTGTTGTAAGAAGGGGCGGACTGGGGAGAAAAAGTGGCCCGGGAGGTCCTGACAGACCGGCCCACCTTCAACGGCTGAGGAGAACTGGAAGTATGACAGGTTAGACAGAGCTAGAACTCTGGTTTGGATTAGCTGATTTGCCACAGATGATCCCGCCCACCTTCAAAATAAACCAATAGAAAACTGACAACAGGTTTGTCTCTTAGCGGTTAGCATTAGCTTCAACTAATAGTTTTATATATTTGGCAGATTAACGTTATATTAGCTAAGATTMTTGTTTAGCAGATTAGCGTTAGTCGCTATAATTTTGTTTAGCAGATTAGCGGTTAGTGAAACTAACATTTTGATCAGCTGTGCCCACCACTGCTATGTTCGATACTACTATACTGTGCACTGTAGATGTACATTAAAATATAATGTCTTAGGACTTTCATTAAAATCCATTCAGATTTAATAAATATTTTGCTAACAGACATRTAAACACARGTAGTTACACCCGGGTGATAAAAACAGGAGTTGAACAAATGTTAAATRTTTTCACCCCTGTGTATTGTTTGAAACTGTAAATACTACTTCATATTATTTAATCCAGGCAGGTAAAGCTGTGAAGTTCTGGTTCCGGTCGTGTTGCAGGTAAAACGAACCTTTCTTCTGATGAAGTCGAACTTGGTGTCACACTGCATGCACCTCGGGCACTGGTGGAGAAAACAGAGGGAAACAGGAAGTTACACAACCTGCTGAGCAGACAGATTCTTCTCCAACAGCTGCTTCTGGTTCTGGTTCGGTTCTGGCAGCTGCAGACTGGACTCTGTTTTTTTCTGTTTGAACCTGAGTTTAACATTTAAAGAGTCATGAGAAAATAAATGATTAACTTTTGGWCTGAACTTTAATGGACTTCCGGTGTGTAGTTTTCTGCACGTGAGGGACAAACATTCCTTAACATGACGAGCAACARCTGGTCGGAACCGACCGCGGGTCGCAAACCCACAGAACCACCGCAGKGTTTCCATTTTAACTCGAGAACTAGTCCGGACCGCTGGTACCGGCTCACYAAACGGGTTCGTACGGGTTTCTGCCAACAAGGCCCAGTCCAGGGGACAGCTGCCATGTCAACAAACTGACCGCAGGAAACGGGAGGAAACCGGATATACAGCCATGCTACTTTCAAAATAAATGCTCGGAAAAAACTTCTGTATTTGAAACTGAACCTTGTCAAATCTGCTTTATTTACTAAGCAATTTAAAACAAATACAGGACCAAAGCGTTGTAAATAACAACAAATATTAGTTAAAACAACAAAAAACAGTGAGTTGTAAACATTTATTTTGGAAAGCCCAACCGGAAGCAGTAAGTTTCCGCTAGCTTTCCTCTTTTCGAGCTCCTTTCCGAGCCCCTCGASCTCACCTCCTTGTCCGGGACCCACTGCGGCTCGTCCAGGGAGAACGGGCTGTTGAAGGCACCGTTTTCCGGAACCATTCTCAGTCCGCTCAGGCTGCGGACCAGCTTCTTCCCGTCCGGAACCGAAGACATTTCTGCTCCGTTCTTCTTCTTCTACCACGAACTCTCTATGAAAACCCGCCTCTGGAGGTGAATGACACAGCGGGTGGCCAATCAGAGCGCAGCACCGGGCCACGCCCTCAGAAGGTTTTTACCTGGCGTTTAACGAATCAGAGCACAGATCGGAGGTCACGTGGTGTCCTAATGTTTTCATCTTTTTGAGCTTTTTCCTTTAAAAATGCCAACATTAAAATAATAAATGCGTATTAAAGTTACATTTTATAAATTTACACTAAAAATAATTATGAAAAAATAAGCAAGACACTAACTTTAGACAGGAAGCAACAAGAATGTCACCAGTTTATTCTTCAAATAAAGTTCAGATGTACAACTCTTTGCAGTACRAGCATCATTTCCACTCATAAATAAGGAAGTGGTAGAAAAATAAAAATAAATCAACTTTCAAGCAAGTCTGTCCTAAATTACAGTGCATTTAAAAAATAAAAAACACATTTTTGTGAGATTTACATAAACTTGTGCCCATTCCTTCAACATTATCAGGTTTTTCCTGTTAACCAACGTTTAAAGTTCCCATCTGTTCACAGACCAGATTAGAGATTATGAGGCGAAGCAGCGAAGATGACAGGCCAGTTTAAACCAGGAACACAGATAATATTTTATATTAAATAAGTGCATCTTTTCTAAAGCTGTTCAGTGAATAAATACAGTCAGAGGATGGATACTTCATGTTTTTAATTATTTATCATTCATCTTTGGAAACAAATATTAATGCTTTTTCTTTTGAAACTTTAAAACCACTAAATAATTAGTTTACCTTTTTTTCAGGTCAAAAGTTACATTTTTAATGTTTAATCTGAATATTTTGTGTTTCAATAAATTCATCTGGTCCCAACACAAAGATTTGTGCACAAATTATTTCTTAATACGTCCTGAGAATTGAATGAAGATAATCCACCCTTCAACCCGCCAGCATGAGATCAGCAAAATAATCCTAAATATGACAAAACAGAACTTTAATCTTTAACACGAAACAAATTAAACCTTCAAATGTTCACATTTACATTCAGAAAAGAAACGATTAAATAAATTAAGCAAAAATAAATCTGTGATTTTAGATCCAAACTTTAAACCTTATTTTTACCAAATGAACAAATTAAGACACGATCAGGCTGCAGCTTTCACTAAATAATCATTTCTGTCATCAAAACTGTGGGAAATAAAGATAAAAATGTTCAAAGCTGCAGTTTAAAGAACTTTTGTATAATAATATATCTGAAGAGTTCATATTTACATCATGAAATATTCAGGTATGTGCCTCAGTTTTCACTTCAAATATCAAAATAAAAACCTTTAAAATCAAACGTTTCATCACTTTAAAGCAGCTGGAGAGAATAAAAACAAGTTTSTAAAACTAAAACATTAAACAGACGAATGTTTCTGATCTGAGTCCAAAACCTGCAGAATCTGTCAAAAGTTCCAACTCCTTCAGAAAAAACAAAGCGGTTTGGTTTAAACTGTTCGTTTTACAAATTTCACCTTTTGGTTCAGTTTTACTGGAGTTTAATCTGGAATAAAAACTATCAGATGTTTACAAACATCTGCAGCAGACAGAGATGAAAAAATTATTTTAATTTGTTTTAAACACTTGTTAAAATGTAAACAACTGAAGGATGAGATGTTTCATTTACTTTTCTGCTCTTCTGAACTATTTATTTTTTAAATTCTATTTTGTAGATTAAAACACCAAAAATAATGTTTCTAATGGACCTGATTTAGTTTGTTTTTGAGATTAAACTGAAAGCCAGTATTTTGTGGAGTCGTGATTAAAAGATTTATCTGAAAATGTTGCTTAGTTTAAATTTAAAAAGTTCATCTTTCAGCTGATTCAGCAGAAATATGAGCTGGTTTTTCAGCCTCGAGGTCAAACTTTGTTTTTAAACTCAGGTAAACATGATTTGTTTCTGCAGAAGGAAAASCCCTGCAGCAACACGGAGCAGATATTTACAGTGAACAAAGGTCAAAGGTCACTTCCTTCAAGGCACCAGGTTCAGGTGGCTGGAGCTCAGATCCTGACTTCTTCTCAGACGATAATTTCTTTCCTGAAGGAAACAGGAAGTAAAAAATAAAAGCTGAGGCGTTGGTTTTATCACAGAAATGAGTTAAATATTATACTGAAACTCCATAAAATAAAAATCAAAACATAAAAATCTTTTTACAGACTTGCTTTAAATTCTAATATCTCAAAACCCAAAATGTTTTTTTTTTTTTTTTGTATCTTGAGGCAACCGTCATTAGTTTTTCTTGTAAGTCTCCTTAGAGCGCCCCCTGCTGGATGAATCAGTTACTGTAGAAAACGTTTAATCTGAAAAGGATCTAAAATTCACATTTTATGACTTAATTAGTGATGATTAATTAATTCATTAATGAAGGTTAATAGTCCCTACAGACACGTTTAGACTGTCCAGGTCCAGGAGTCCTTACTTGGTTCTGGTCTCTGGCAGGTGGATCCGGCAGGTTAAGAACACCCAGAGAGCTGGCCCGCTTCATGCTGCGCCCACATGCAGACGGGTCAGAGG